CAAGAAGGAGTGGTTGTACATCTTATATGTAATATTTCAGTGTCACAAAGCTTTCATTTCTGACTTCTCATCAGAAAAAAAAGGGGGGGGGGGGAAGTTTAACCAACTCAGCTTTTTCAGATACGATTATAAGAAACAGCACTTGAAGGGACAAGAGCTCTAGGGGCAGAGAGGCATAACAGGAGCCATTGCTCTGCAAACTGGAATTGCTCAGCCCCATCAGAAAAAAAAAAGAGAGGACCGTGACCTCAGTTAAAGCATAGTAAAGGCAGTAGATTGTGGCTGTTCCCCTCTGGAATGAAAACTTACATTCCTGCTGAAGATAAAATCCAATGATCTGATCTTGCATACTGCTGTCACAGGAGAAGAAACAGCCCAYGAATGTTTCAATTCTTCAAAAACAGACACCCTCCAGGCTCTACAGCCAAAATCTCCACCATAAAAAGACATACGTAATCAATCTTATCATAAAAATCTGCAGGTGTTGAATGTTTGATCAGGTTAGAACTATAGAATTCGCATGTCAGACTTCAACAGGATTCAGGACTTGCAAATGAYGCTTCACTGCAATTGCTTCCTTTTATTTCATTACCCTCAAAACCCTGCAGACCACTAATGATACCTCATTTAAAGGCCTGTGCTTTACRGTATGATGAAAACATGATGTGCAATTAAACATGGAATAAAAAGGACAGGAATTTGAAAGGAGAAAAAGGGGAAAAAAAGCGGGGGGCAGATGTCAGAAATCCTTAGGATTTGAACAATCTGAAAAGGTTTCTATCATCAGTTGTTGGAAGGAAGCATGTTCCTTTAGAGCATGTTACCTTTTAATAACATCTCCATTTAGTTTTCTTGGAGAAAAAGTCCAATAGAGAATATAGACTATTGACTATAGCAACAAGAATGGCTATAACAAGAAAATAACAGATAGGTTATTTTCAGCCATCTAGTATTCAGGTTCTATGTGCTTTTTCAAAACTGGTATAGATAAGGACTCTTCGTAGTAAGAAGAGAGAAAGAAAGAGGCCAATATGCACATATTTGAACAGTCCATGAACAAAGTAGAACAATAGTAAAAGAATCATAGAATAGTATTAGAGTAAAAATAATATAGAAATGAAATAATTAGTAGAACAATAATATCAGAAGAATATTAGTATAATAATATAGCTATGAATTAATTTGAATGATGTGCACAAAGATGAGATCTTTGAGAGGAAGATAATACACACTTTAACTTTAAAAACACCAGATTTACTTCTCAAATACAAATATTACATGCTTCCCATAAAGGTAGCTTAGAGAAAGATATTGTTAATTTTCATTGAAAAYTGGAAGTTAAACAAAATCCCTTTAAACATTTACCAATTTAAGTATGTTAGTAAATGTTACACTTTATAAGCCTGCAAGCCATCTAAGCAGATCTTGTATAATTGCTAGAAAAAAGGGCAGACATCATGTAAGAAAAGTGCTCTTGCTGACAGGTATAAGGAAAGAGCCGAACGCAAAAGCTGAAAGAAAAGGTCAGAAAAAGAATAAAGTAAAATATGACAAAAACATTTACAAAAGAGAATGAACATGTTAAAAAATGCAATGTACATTACACTTGGAAAAAAACTTTTTACACTAAGAATTATTTTTTATAAGGAGTGATAGGTTAAATAGATTTTAAAAATGAAGTAAAAATTCAATTGAGAATTTTAAGGTGTAAGCTAATAGAAGTAGATGTTTTGGGAAACATACAGACATGCCCACTAAAATGTCCTCTGATATCAATTCTGTACTTAGTCATATCACGAATATATTACAATTTAAGCTAAGTAAAATCTTTACAGGCACACTTAACTTTTCATAGTCTTAGTCATACAGGTGCTGATTATCTGTAATTCTCATAGTTCTCAGTCTCAAATAAGGGAAAGATCAGTAGCAAAATGTTTTATTTAAAGAGGAATCAAATGTACTAGAAGGAAAGCTAAAAAGTACTAAAGATTCTTAAGATTACAGCTGGATATAATCAGTAAGATTATCAGTGAATTAGATTTTCTGAACGTGCATTTGATAGCTTTCTCTGAGTTCTCTCATCATATTTAAAGCACAGCTTAAATAAAATTTTCATTATCATCCCTTGATAGAGAAGTGCTACTTCTATTTTTTAAGAATGTCTGATTATATACCATTTACTATGTATAACAGACTCTTAGCCACTCCCACTCAAACCTTAAACATATATCCTGAGTAGTTTCAGAATAAAATTTTCAAACTAAAAATTCAACAGCTACAATTTGAGCCTAATCTTAGATTTACTTGTTTCTTTCTTGTGATATATTTCCATTTCTAAATTTCCATTTCTATTTCCATTTTCCAAAACATTAGAACATGACATATATCTGACTTTATCCCACCCTGAAGCCAATGCTTTGTCTCAGAGTGAAAACTCTATAGATCAAAAACTTAATTTATGCTCCATAAATGTGAGCACTTGCTAAGATTTACGAAATCTCATTATACTGTCACTTCTTAGGCCTTCTCACACTTCTTCAGCCTACATCTTAGGCTAAAACACATGCACCAGCTCCTGTGTATGTACCAGCTCCCAAGTAAGATAATCTTTTATGCATTTTGCTGTCAAGAAGTATTTATCCTCTCATGTCAGAGTTTTATTTTATTTTATTTTTCCAGAGAACGTACTACTATTTACACTTATTAGTGCTGAGATCCACGTATGCARTGCTCCCATTTAATTGAGTAAATTAATTCCTGGCGTTAGGCAAACAGCACTACAGTTCACAAGGCAGTTAAAGGACAAAATACACTGCCTCTATGGACATCTAAAATTATACAATTAGACAAGCTTAGGGCTTTCAATTGTTTAAAACTGAATAAGTACAACATTTTTTGGTAGTTAAAATGTGACATTAGCTGGAGCACACTGTGTTCTCCCTGCATTTCTTCCTTTGAAGTTACYGTTTATTTAAGAACTAAATTCATTTTCTATAGTGAAACATAAAACACAAGTCATTTTTTATCCTATTATTTTTCTTTTCCCCAAGGTTTCATTTTTATTACGTTATCTGAATGGATACTGAATTATGGTTACATAGCAACCTCTAAGTAAATTGGAAACTGTAAAAACTCTATAAAGAATAACCGATAAACAAAGTTCAGAAAAGTATGAAATGACCAAAGAAATATGGAAAAAATAATAAAAAAAAACTCTAAGCAAAAATCTAGAGACAAACACAAGAGGATAAAACTAGTGCAAATAGTGCAACACCTAAAATTAATATTGAAAAAAAGAGACTCTGGGGCCCAATATAATTCAATGTCAATCTTCTTTGCTTCCAGACTCTATCAGCCCTTTCTGCCACTGTTTGTAGCTTATCTACAAAGACACAGGGCTTGAATATCATCTGTCTATATTTGGGCACTGAATATTTCAGCACTTTACCTACTGAATATTTGTCATCCTTCTGTATTTGATTCATAACTAAACTGTTAGTTCTGAAGGACTAAGCTATAACACAAAGTTTGGATTAAAAATGCTCCCAAGCATTGTTTTGTTTCATTGTACTTTTGTTAGGCCAAAAAATAGATGGTGAACACATTCATCTTCAAAACTGTGTTCCCACTGCTGCGAGGTTTCACTCCCTGACTGTTCTTTCGATACCTACCCACACAATGTACCGACACAGATCATCACTTTTTTCAGATAACTGTTCACTAATTCTCCATACTAATTCTCCGTACGTACCCTCCGTACATACAGGGTATGTATATGCATGTTCCCAGAGATGACCTTTCCTTTGGTCTGTTTGCTTCCATATCATCTTTTGACTTTCCTGCAAATTCAATTAAAAGCAGTGTCTGCAGACCTTGTTTTTCCCTTTCCCTATGCATTTGCTTTTTATATTCACGGTTGGTGACCATGGTTTGGTGACTGACTATCATACATTCCTCCTTTCCTAGTAAATGTGTACAAATCTGGGGTTAGGGTTCTTTTTTTTTCCCCCCTCACCACCACCACTGCAGACTTATCTCAAAATCTCAAATTAGATATACTATTAGTCTTCAAATTCTACACCTGCCCTCCAGTGTTTAGAAATACTTGGGAAGTTTCTCAAGTTTTTCAATTTTCATTCTCAAAATCAGCTTTTCAAAACACTTGCTCTTTTCATCTCTACTAAATATACTCTACYGAATCTTTCAGCTTTAGATTCTGTTAGATTACTTCTATTCATTGTCTTCTATTTCTCCATCTCCAGATTCTTTCTATTGCTTAAGCTCATGCCATGTATTCTACTTAGAAGTGATTAGTAAGAACTCCAAATCAGTGCTTATAGTCATTATGAATATTTACAGAAACCTAGCAAATATTGCAAAAGGTAGCTTTAGAGAGTGGGTGAGACACCCTTGAGCAATCAGATTAATACCAAACTACTAAAAGCAACAACTACTAATTTAAGCTACAGCTCTTTAGAGGATGCTGKATTTATCCTAAGTCTCGCAAAAAACTTGAAGTTGCCATTCAGGCAAGCTGAGCTTTGAAACTGCCCTCTATTTTATGAAGCATTATTGTAAACAAGTCCAATTTACAACTATAGCTCACATAAAATCATTAAGCAAGACAAAAAAGCAACAGCGATGTGCAAAATCATTTGCCTCCTCAGAAATAAAGTATTAAATAAATAAACCAAGTATTTGATTGTGGAGGCACACTACATCTATACAATACAATCTACTCATACATCATACTTTTTTTTTTTTTTTTTTAAATGATTGTTCATTACCCGGAAGCATGATTACACAACAAAACAAGGACAGACCAAGCTCTGCACGCATTTCACTTTAACTTCTTTTTTACTTTTTTGCGTTTTTATTTTTTTCTGCAAGCATGCAAGCATGCAACTAAAAACATCAGGACTAAGGAGCTGGTTAAATACCACTTTTTTGTTCCTTATCAAAAGTTTTGAGAACATGTTATAGATTAGAATGTTACTTACATTGATATCTTCCAAATCTAAAGTATTCAAAACAACATTGTTCCTCTTCCAGATGATGGGAGGTCTCAGAGTGCCTTGAATCTCACAACTTAGGACAGCACTTTGTCCTACTGTTGCTGCTGTGGTGCTTATTTTTTGATCTTCCGGCAGGCTCAGCTGAACCACCTCTGCAAAAGATATATTGTTTGTAAGGTTAATTAGCATGCAGTTTCATAAGGTTAATTAGCAGGCAGCTTTTGCACACTAGTAATTTAAGGATTTTAATTGGAATCAAAGCAAAAAACTTCCAACAGCCACAGGAAGGTACAAAGTATTTCGAATAAAAGGTCGGCATGACATTTCAATTAAACTGACTGACAAGTATCATCTTATAAGAAAAAAGGCACTTAACATGAATCTCAGAGGTAAGGCTATAATAAACATGACAGGCTAGATTCAAAGATAGACACTGGAAGTTATTTAACTGCTAGGACAATGATGTACAGTCATTACTATCTTCATTTACACTGCAATAAGAGAAGAAGTTGTAGAAGTCATGAGAGTTCATTTTCTGAAAAGTGAAATTTCCTTTACTGCTCCGGCCTCTTGATCAAACTGACAACTCATCTCTTCTATTTCAGTTTTCCAAGAATATGCATCACTCAAAGTTCATGCCAGTTTCAGAAAACAATATCAAAATAATTTCTTCTAATTTTCTCCGGTCAAACAGAATTCCTTTCATAATTTGAGAAATCCAGAGCGAGAGCGGTAAACAGTTATAGTACCTTAAATAAATCTCTTCTAAACACTAAAAAATCAAAGAAAAAGAAAGAACACTTTATGAGTTCTTCTGTACTGGCAGATACTACTGYATCTGCCAAGGAACAGTAGCAAGAATTATGATGGATTACAACACCTAGCACAAGTACAGAGTATAGCACTGTAAACCAGCTGAGGACAAACCTGAAGAAAATGTAGTACTTCACTTAAAATACCCTGAACTGTTTCAGTCCACCAATATTCACCATCTACTCTTTGCATTTGCTGTGTAGAACACAGAATTCACTAGTAATAAGATGAAACTATTTTATAAGCCTTTATAAACCACTTTTGTTTTACTTAGTGAGACCTATAAAATATCTGTACAAATACTTGCACAAACACATTTTATACAAATATGTTTTGTATGTACAAATACATACGTGCAAACACCTGAGGAGAGAACATAAAAGAGGATGGGGCCAAACTCTTCTTGGTGGTGACCAGTGACCGAACAAGAGGTCAGGGGTACAAGTTGAAACACAGGAAGTCCCACCTCCATGTGAGGAAGAACTTCTTTATTGTGAGGGTGGCAGAGCCCTGGAACAGGCTGCCCAGGGAGCTTGTGGAGTCCTGTAGGATTTCAAAATCCACCTGGATGCCACCCTGTGCCACATGCTCTGTGTGCAGGGGTTGGACTAGATGATCTCTAGAGGTCTCTTCCAACCCCAACCATTCTGTGATTCTGTGCTCTGCAAATCGGTAAATGTAGATGATACCGTTTCGAAAATGTTACACCACAGAGGCTTGGGGGCAGACAGATTTTTTTTTTTGAAATCTGTTCTGCGTGGAATTGAGTAAGAAAATATTCAAATTGACATAAGAAATCAGAAACAATGCTTTCATATTCATAGCTAATTCATGAAAAAGTCAGTCATGCTCATTGACATTTCTAAAATTAATACCAGTGCAGTATATTCAAACTCACTATTATTTTGTGGAATGAAGGCTATTTCTGATATGGTATTAGAAATACCAAAAAATGTACAACTATAACACAAATTAGATGCTATAAGTAAAAAAAATAAAGTCAGCAAAATGTCTGAATAAATTAAAATCCATCATGAATAAACAGAGTGGTAAATACAGACTACACAWCCTTTAAAGTGAAAGTACTTTAATTTTAATTAATTTAAAATCTGTCATACAATTTTGGAACAAATTTGTTCCATGCAAAATCAAGGAACTATTTCAAGGTTACTAGCAGTAGAGAACTATTCCTAACCCCTTTAACCTAGAGTATACAGAAAAGAAATCATCCCCATTTCCATTTTTCATTTCCTCTACTACTTCACGTAGGATAAAGAAACACCAAAAAATACATAGCTTCATGAACTACCTTTGTATGACAACACAAATTGCAAATACTGACCGAGCAAATAGCAACATGAAAAAAGAAACTACATAAATTTATTTCAACCCAAGAGAAAAAGCCTATTTTTTTAGGTTCATTGTTCTTCATATTTGCAAATGATCTCTCAAGAATTAAGGTGTGCCAAAAAAGACTGAAGAATCTCTTTTCTTGATAATACATACAGCAAGCAGCTCTGACTGAAAGGCCATTGCCATGTTGCACAAATCATGCCAACTTTTACATAGAAAAAGGGACCTGTTGATTGTCAAAAGACAGCTGAGAGCTGTCTTTTTACTTTAGGTAAGTCTGATTTAAAAAAAAAATCTTAAAATTTTTGCTTTATAATTATTTTGTTCTACTAGGGAGAAGACACATAGGTGTTGAGGTGTCTAATGTGATACTGCCATCTTGCTTSACTTTTATAACGTTCTGTGAAGAACATCCAAATAGTTATTTCTTCAGCTCAACTGCCAGAGCATGAAAAATCTCGAGTTATCTTATATTTCATTTTTAAAATTAACTTCACAAAGCATCATGTATCTATTCTCTGTTAATTACCAAAACAGTTTTGTATAAAAGACACATTAATCTTGATTACAGCAAAACAGCAATCCATGAACAAGCTAAGATCCTTTTTCTTTTAGCCTCATAAAAGCAATACTTTGTAATTAACACAATTAAAAAGACTATTTTTTGTTTACTGTTTTTCTCCCCCACATCCCAAAAACAAGCAAAGAAGAATTTCAATAGCTTCAGGAAGCAAACCCTCGTTATTCTATAATTAAAAAATAAAAATCAATGCCTCGATTTTAGAGTATGAGACAAAAAAGGCTTCTCTTTTTTTTTCCACCCGGAAGGGATGTTCTACAACACAAAACTAAGTGGAATTGCCCACCAGACATGCACAAATGCGACCACCTCACTTTTTTCTAACTAAATATCTATGTGACAAAATTTACAACGCTAGGAAAAGTGTTCAAAACATGAAAGTTGTGTTCAAAAAACACTTTTGGATTCAAAACTTCTGGTAGGGACTGGCAACACTAAAACTTCCTCTTAAAAGGCAAGTAAATATTATGAAAGTTAATTTATAATTTATAGAGGAGTAATTACTCATRTTTTCCTAAGTCACCATTTAAGATAGTCATGAAGCAATGATCATGAAATCAGCTTTTGCTATTGGGCCCTCTGTGAAAAATTTACAATAAATTCACATGATATTGTGAGTTATCTAATTTGCGTAGTTTAAAAGCTACCAAATCTTGAAATCTTTTTTTTCAATGAATAGAAGTATTACTGTGAACGGCTGTACACACAGGTAGACAGTAAATGTCTATTATAAAAGTCTTTTTTAAAATCAAAATGCAACACCAGAAAAGGGTTAACAAAAGTAATGTTTAATATTGCCCTCAACAAAATTGGTATTCAGAATTCAGAGGGAGATGGAACTAATATTATATTTTTTTGAAGCCAATGATTCATTTGATTCTTTTATCTGCTTTATATCTACTTGTAATCATATCCTTACCTCACAAAAAAAAAAAAAAAAAAAAAAAAAAAAAACACTTAGGAAGAATACAAAAGTAATAATAAAGGAGAAAAATGATAATACTAATTTTGCCCAAGGAATTCCCTAAAAATGATTTTTATTAATTCCTATGCTTCAATGTGATCTATGTCAATATTCCATTTATTCTATCATTTGCCTTCATTGTACTAAACAAGCTGACGGCATAAGTTCTTCAAAACAAGCACAGTTGTCTCACCTGGAAAAAATGAATGCACTGAAGTGTTACATATTTGTTAACAGTTATAGAAATAATCACTTTAATAAATATGCTAGAAGTATTTTTGGATTGTTTTCTACTCAAAATCATGAAAATGACTTAAGAACTTTCCAATGTTAAGCAATTATGCATGATAATTTGTATTATTAACTTTTGTAGGAAAAAAACAGCTCTTGATGAAACTGAAGTAACTTTTCTACAGAAAAATCTTTTGTACATATTTTGTTCCATCAGAAAAAAACAAAACAGAAACAAAAACCAAAAAAGCCTTCCCAGCCAAGAGAGAGCCAAGTATCCGGAGTTCTTTGACAGGTAACCCTTTAAAACCATGTTAATGAAATGCTACAGGCAGGGGGATAAGGCATTAAAATCACAGAATGGTTGAGGTCAGAAGGAAACTTTAGAGATCACCTAATCCAACCCTTCTGTACACGCCTAAAGCACATGGCACAGAATGGCGTCCAAGCGGGTTTTGAAGATTTCCAGAGAAGGAGACTCCAAAACCTCTCTGGGCAGCCTGTTCCAGTGCTCTGTGACTCTCAAGAACTCTTTCCTTAAGATCCTGTTTGTGACCACATCCTCTAACTCTATCAGTGGCCACCACTGAAAAGAGGCCGCCCCATCCTCCTCACTGCCTCCTTTGACTCACTCTCTTCTTCAGGCAGAAGAAGGTCCCTCAGCATTTCCTCATAGGGCAGATTAGCAACAACCCATATGTGTGCAAAAAGCTAGACAAAGACAGGGATGAGTTTTATCTCAACAAACATGAGGACAAACACAGCAGGAGGTGAAAAGTGTTTGTCAGTGAGCAGGTCTCCCTAGGTCAAGAGAGCTCAGAGGCCAGTCTCTCTGACAGCCTATTGGAAACAGAAGGCCTACGTCCAGGGCTAAATAACACATGCATCATCTCTTCTGTCTTCCTCAAAAGAAATGAATCTGATTCTGAGAGCAGATTCTACCAGGCAGTAACAGTAAATTTATGTGGACAGGAGGCTTTAGCTTAGAGTTCGTTGTTGTCAAAAGTGTGAAACGTACACTATATGGTAAATGGTATTAATGAACTTGGTTTGGCTCCTCCAGATGCATCATCAAAGTTAAAGTTTTTGAGTTCTAAATCAGAAGTCATCACTGATGAAGCCCCTTCTGAATAAATGATAGAGGTTACAAGCATCAAAAATAGTGAACCTAGAGTAAACATTAAATATTTGGAAGTCTGGTCTAATGTTAT